AAAAAAAAAGCTGCTTTTCATACCACACCCAAGGAACTACCAAGTAACTTGTGAGCACTGGGTCAAAGGTAATGCCTAAACATAACATTTGAATCATAGAGATATACACCTTACTCAGCACAGATGGCAGGAAAGACAAGAAGAAAAAAAGACCAAAACACTGGCCAGTGCTTCGGATGATAAAAGGTAATAAAGATGTCTTGCAGGCCAAAGGAGTTGTTTTTTTGACAGCCATTTGGTAGATCTTCCCATGGAGGTGGCTAGCTATGTTGTCTTCTCCAACTAGCTCCACCAAGTAATTGCATATCATTGCTTCAGCATTTCCATAAATACTGTGATAGGCATTGTGACACACAAACAAAAAAAAATCACAGGAAACTCAAGAAACAGTGACTTCATCAGTATTCACACATTTGTGTTCATTAAAAAAAAAAGAAAATCAATGCCTATCCTGGGGGTGGAATAAGTGACTTAAGTTTGGGGAAATGCCAGGAGCTCAAATGTCTCCCAGGGCTCTTGCTGTTGTCTCTCTTGTTTTCTGCGTGCCTTACTGATCTTTCCTAATTTTTATAAGGACCTGAAGTCAATGTATGCCTCTTATTAGTGGAATTTTCCTAGAAAATACTGTGTAGATATAACACCAAGTGTATTTCAGGAGTATTAGAGCCCAGTACTAAATGTTATAAAACAAATACAAACCCCAAGAAGGAGTGTATTTGATGTTAGTGTTTTTATCATTGAATGGCAGATAGATTGAGTCTCACTGCTTTGGCAGTCTAAGGGAAAAATGGTGATGTCTATCTTGTCACGACTCTGTCAGTGTCTTTTCTAGGCTTAACCTCCACATTATGTCTGGAGATCTAGTCTTCTTTCTTCTTGTTCAGTCGTCACTGAAGGTGAACAACAGATCATCTCTAATAACAAGTCTGAGAAAGTTGCCACCTTAAGCTAGCCATGGTAATAATTATTCTTCTCCCCTCCCCCAATGCTATTCTTTTTTTAAAAAAATCTTTACTTTTACTGTATCCTTCTGCAGATCGAGGATGGAGGCCCTAGCTTGCCTTGAGGACCATTTACCCCTACTAATCAAACATCACTCAACAATCCAGGACCACCAACCCCCTCTCCCTCACCCGTCATTCACCTAGTCTTTCCAAATACCCGCCCACATCCAGGTTTGACCAATTATACCGTAGCTTCCATGGCTTCAGCAGTAGGCCCACTGACCAATCAGGAAGAGCATTGCACAGACTGACAAACGACCTAACTAATCAGCGCCAGAGAAGAGGACGCGTTGAAACTCACCCAGCGTGACGCAAGAAGTGGCCAACCCCTGCAGAGCCTGAGACCATGGCGACCAATCCGCACCGGTGGGAGACTGTTTCCCGCCCCATCGCGGCCGCCCCCAGCTCACCCGCCTGCACCCCTTCCATTTCACCTGCTTTTCCTCTCCGGTTTCCTCCGCAGGGTTCTCTTCTTCTTGTTTCTGGGACATGGCAGGGCCGGGACGGTGGAGTGTAGGGGGCCCGGGAATTCAACCGGAGAAGGGAAGGGGGAGGGGAGACGGGGACAACCAGCGCTGCAGCTTCGGCTCCTGTCACTATGGTTGCTCAGTCAAAATGGCGGCCCTTGCCCGTGACGTTAAGACCGCCTCTTCCTATGGGAGCCAATGAGGGTGGGAGGGATGGGGCAATGATGTAACGATCTACCAATAGCTGCTGGCTAGAGGTGGGCCCTAGTGAGGTGACCGACAAACTAGAGGACCAACCCGAGAAGAGAGTGAGCCACTAGGACCAATTAGAATATTTTGGAGGATGCTAGAGGCGGGACTAAGAGCTTTGACAGTTTTGCTCTGAGTGTGGGCTCAGACTTTTTTCAACTACCACCTCCCAGTGCTTGCGAGACGAGGAACAACTGCAGAACCAAAGGATGTAAAAACCCTCCCTCTGTTCTCAGGTGGAGTGATCTCTGTTCTCAGGTGGAGTGAAGTAAGCTTTACCCAATGTTAACAGGAAATTCTCAATCACCAAGAATCAAATTGGGAGGTCAAAGTGAACTTCAAAGCAATGCTCAACAGTTTTCTAATATTCCAACCTCAGAACCACCAGAACAAAAAATAAGAACACTATGGTTTGTGTTCCATAACCCGTGTAAGGCTTTATAACTGTTCAGGATCATCCCATAGAGACTTAACTCCTTGAATCTGGGAGCACAGTTCTAGAAACAGGATAAACATTTCGCAAATGTAGTTAACATAAACAAAATCATAGTTCAAAAAATAGTTCTTGAGCATCTGTCAGGAGAAGACAACAGTACTTGTATTTTTGTCTTCATCGGCTTTATTGCTGCTACTGGGGCTTAAACCCGGGGCTTTTTCACTCACAGCTAGTGCTCAACCATTTCTGCCATGCCTCTAACCTGGCTTTTTTTCTTTTTAAAAGTATTTTTTATTATTGAAAAGGTGATGTACAGAAACATTACAGTTATATAGGTTAAGCAAAGAGTCCATTTCTTCTGGGACAATGTCAACTATTCCCTCACTTTCCCAATTTTTTCCTCCCATCCCCACCTACAAGTTGTATAGGTCATTTAATGTCTAGTGAGTACCACTGCTGCATTTGTTCACCCTTTGACCCTCCATTTCTGTTTTGCTGATTATTTTGGAGATGGAGTCTTGTGGACTTTTCTGCCCCAAGGGTTGCCTTGAGCCACAATCTGCTGAATCTCAGCCTCTTGAGTAGCTAGGAGAATGAGCCACTGGTGTCCCGCACATCTTTATATTAAAAAAACTGGTCTAGGGGCTGGGAAGGTGGCTCAATGGTAGAGTGTTTGCCTTGCATGCATGAGGCCCTGGGTTTGATTCCTCAGCACCACATAGAAAAAGCCAGCAGTGGTGCTGTGGTTCACATAATAGAGCACTAGCCTTGAGCTGAAGATCGGAGGGACAGCGCCCAGGCCCAGAGTTCAAGCCCTAAAAAAAAAAAAAAAGAAAAAGAAAGAAAAAGAAAAAAAAAGCTGGTCTGATATTAATAATACTGCTAACTTCATAATAAAAATATTTCAAGTAACTTTTTGTAACAACTTCGGGGCCATCTGTTCATTATTATGTATCACTAAGTGTACTTATGGTGGAAAAGTTTGAGGAACAGTGGAATATACAGACTGTTACCATACAAAAATGTGAAGTTTTCTGTGAGATCAAAGAAAGGCTTATATTCAGTGTAGGGTCCAAAAAACCTACCACCACCACCAACAAAAAATCCTACTTTGTGGCAAAGATGAATTTTTTTTTGGGTGCAAGTCCTGGAACTTAAACTCAAGGCTTGGGTGTTGCTGCTGTCACTGAGCCTTTTTGCTCAAGGCTTTTGGAACAAAATACATAGAAAATACTTACCTCAAGGATGAACATCTGTCTTATAGGGAATGTAAAACAAAATCTATCCTTTTTTTGAAGAGGGTCATTGATTATCATCCTACCATTTGAGCCATAGCACCATTTCTGGCTTTTTGGTGGTTAATTGGAGATAATTCTCACAGACTCTCCTGCCTGGGCCAGCTTCCAACCCAAATCCTCAGATCTCAGCCTCTTAAGTAGCTAAGATTACAGCTGTGAGCCACCAATAATCAGTTGGAAATGAAACTTAAAGAACTTAACTTGCTAGAGATGAAGAATATTGGAACAGCAAAACTAGAAAAACAAAATGGTAACCAGAACGTGGAGGGTTTTGAATGCCAGAGTAAGAAGTCTTGGAATAGTTCAATAATCAATGAAATACCAAAAAAAAAAAAAAGGCCAGAGTGTAACTGAACTGCCATTACAAAAATTAACTTGTGCCGGGCGCTGGTGGCTCACGCCTGTAATCCTAGCTACTCAGGAGGCTGAGATCTGAGGATCGCGGTTCAAAGCCAGCCCAAGCAGGAAAGACCATGAGACCCCTATCTCCAATAAACCACCAGGAAACCGGAAGTGGCGCTGTAGCTCAAATGGTAGAGCGCTCGCCTTGAGCTGAAGAGCTGAGGGACAGCGCCCAGGCCCAGAGTTCAAGCCCCACGACCAACAAAAAAAAAAAAAAAAAAAAATTGTTAGCTAATCAGAAAGATAGTAGAGATAGGCTTTTCAGCCTGGAATCTACTATAAACTTTATATAGGGGATAATTAGGACTTAATTTGGAAAAGTGGCAGTTAAGAACACAAAACAGTTGCCCAGCGCTGGTGGTTCACACCTATAAATCTAGCCCAGCTTTTTCTTTTTTTTTTTGCCAGTTGTGGGGCCTGAACTCTGGGCCTGGGCACTGTCCCTCAGCTCTTCAGCTCAAGGCTAGTACTCTACCACTTGAGCTACAGTGCCACTTCTGGCTTTTTCTGTTTATGTGGTGCTGAGTAATCGAACCCAGGGCCTCAGGCATGCAAGGCAAGCACTCTACCACTGAGCCACCTTCCCAGCCCTTCTTTTTCTTTTTTGCTGGTCATGGGCTTAAACTTGGGGCTTGGGCACTGTCCCTGAGCTCTTTTCACTCAAAGCTAGTGTTCTCCCACTTTGAGCCACAGCTCCACTTCTGGTTTTCTGGTGGTTAATTAGAAATAAGTATCTCACAGACTTTCCTGCTGAAGTTGGATTTAAACAGCAATCCTCAGATCTCAGCCTCCTGAGTAGCTGGGATTAGAGGTGTGAGTGACTGGTGCCCAGCCATTTTATCATTCTTGCAGTTACACAGTTTTATCAACTAAGCCAGAGGTTTGTCCCTTCCTTCCTTCCTTCCTTCCTCCTTCCTTCCCTCCTTTCCTTTCCTTTCCTTTTCTTCTTTTTCTTTCTTTCCTATGCAATAAACACATTGTTTTGTTGGTCATAGGGCTTGAACTCAAGGCCTGGGCACTGAACTTGAGTTTTTTTTACTCAAGGCTAGCTTTCCACCACTATGAGCCAAAGCACACTTCTGGTTTTCAGGTGGTTAATTGGAGATAAGTGTCTGGTGGACTTTACTGCCCAGGTTGACTTCAACCCATGATCCTCAGATCTCAGCCTCCTGAGTAGCTAGGATTACAGGTTGTAAGTCACCAGTGTCTGGGTAGGCCAGAAATTTCAAGGTTGGTTTGCTCACTAAACTTGGGCCATTGATGTCTCTTCATGACATCTCTTCAAAGAAAGGATAGATTTTGTTATACATTCCCTATAAGATAGATGTGCATCCCTGAGGTAAGTATTTTCAACATATTTTGTTCCAAAAGGAATCATTTTCCCATGTGTGTCTTTCTCCAGGATAAGGGTCTTTAAGATATCCTTTGCTCAGTATCCAGAGCACACTAATTATTTTGAGCAAGTGGGCAGTGTTAGTGGGAGAAAGCTGTTCTTTTTCCTTTTAGCTATCACTTCAGCTTATGAGGAACTGTAAGGCTTAAAGGAAAGACTAGGCTTATTCATTTATAGTGTTTGTCTCTGAATTCCTGACTGCTGTTTCCCAAGCCTCAGGTCTTTAGGAAAGACAGAATAAGTCTCATGATCTAAAGGAGTTGAAGAACTCGAAGCCAGTAGACAGAGGAAGTTCAGGTTTGGTAGAACTAAGACAGGCCAAAGAACAGAGGTTTCAGTGTTAGGGAAATTTCAAATTTATATCATGTATCATTAGCATAGAGAAATTGTAGGTATGACAAGTTCTGTCATATACTGATTATAATTAGTGACTGATATGGCATGGTTGTCATAGTCACTGAAGTTGATTTAATCAAGAGTGAAGCCATGAACTGCATGTCTTAGAGTATATGATTAGGGAAGAAGGTGATTGGAACCTAAATATTTAAGTATACCTTGCAAAGGCACAGAAATAACCACATGATCCTTACCAAACCAGCTGCATTCTAAGTGTTTAAGGATAATTTCTTGTTGAAATTAAGGAATGTTTCAAGGGTGGTTGTCTGTAAACTGGGACAATAAGAGTAGATTAGGAAGATTATAGACTGGCAGAGGGAAAGGAGAAAAGAAAGACAATTTAGAGGACCACTCCATATGCAAATGATAGAGGGTGATGACCCCTGGTTGAGGCCACTAGGAAAAGAAGAGAGAAACTATGGCAAGAGTAACAACTAGGAGCCAGGTCTGGTACAAACCTGAAATCCCAGCTACTCCCAGATTCTTCAGGGGATTCAAAAGTTCAACACGAGCCGGGTACAGGTGACTCACACCTGTAATCCTTAGGAGGCTGAGATCTCAGGATCTCTGTTCAAAGCCAGCCCCTACAGGAAAGTCCATGAGACTTATCTCCAATTAACCACTAGAAAACTGGAAGTGGCGCTGTGGCTTACGTGGTAGAGCGCTAGCCTTGAGCTGAAGAGCTGAGGGATAGTGCCCCCAGGCAGAGTTCAAGTCCCATGACTGACAGAAAAAAAAAAAAAAGTTCAAAGCTAGCCCAGGCAGAAAAGCTTGATAAATACTATCTCCAAAATAACCAGCAAAAAGCAGGACTAGAAGTGTGGCTAAGTGACAGAGGGGCAACCTAGCAAGTGTAAGGCCCTTAGTTTAAACTCTAGTACTCTTAATGGAAGAAGCTAGGTGTGGTGGAAGCCAAAAGTAGGACAGATTGTAGTCCAGGGACCTGGGGAGGAAATAAGAACCCACTTCAAAAATAACCAGCTC